AACCGATATTCATAATATTACTCTATTTAATGATTAATAATATTTATCGTTTTCCATAAGTGAAAGCTATACTCAGCTTTCGGAAACTTTAAATTTGAATTATACAGGAAATCAAACAGTTCGTATTTAAAATGACTAAAATTAAATTGTAGAAGTAGGCTATAATATTTCGTTAATGTGTGTGGATAAATAAAAACCTTTAGTTACTAAGGTATTAACCATTTCTCCAAGGTTTGTAATAGTTAATCAAACTCAAAAGACTATTCATGTATTGCAAGAATCAAGTCATTAATATTTAGAAATATAGTCAATGGATAGAAAACCATTAATATGGTATTCTGTGAGATATTAATACATTTCAATTCATTATTAAGATGAAAATATTGAATGGCAACCTACTAATCCAATAGATCCAAATGGTAATGGATTTTAATGTTTTACTATTAGAGCTGTAAGGAATTAATAAATTATCAAACATTTTAATTGTGTAACAAAAAGAGATAATTAAATAATATATTTAATTATTTTAGAATGTAAATCAATTGTTACATAAAATACAATATATGATTAATCATAAAGAAATTCTATTATTTAATAATAATAATCATAAATATTCAATATCAATTAAGTAGATCCTCCTTATGTTATAGTTAATAATTTGCAATTAGTAACATTGATTTGTTATTAATATTGTTGTTCAGATGAAAAGTATAGTCATCGTTATTAATTCAATGAATACAAGTTGTATATAAATAATAACTAATAATGTGCATTTTCTTGGGAATACCCTTGTGAAAGAAGAGATTTAGTGATACAACTCTAATTTGAAGGTGAATTACAAACACATTATAGAGTAAATCCAATATTTATTAATCTTGAAGAAGCAGAGGCAGTTCAAGAGTATGTCATTTAAAGTTTATTAAGTGAATCAAAATAATATAAGTTTTATATTATTTCACTTTGGGAAGGTGCTAGTAGAAAATTAAAATTTTAATAAGAAATGTAGAATTAATAGAATTAACATGACACAAATATTCTAAAATTAGATATCAATTTAAATTAGGTAGGTATATCTTTTATAGATTAATGTTATTCAAAAAGAGTAGAGTTAATTTATATATATTTTTAAGGACTTGAATTTAATTTATTATAAACAACATAAAGTAAGAGATCTGAATTTAAAGTGAAATATATCAATATTGATAATAATACATCTAGTAAGACTATGTTCCCTGTTATTTTTACTCCTACTAAATAAAAGGAAATCTTTGAATTTAATAAACCTCATTTGTCTCTTATACTTGAACAATCTACTTAAGTTAAGTCTATTTCATTAATTAAAAATATTACTGCATGTTTATAACCTACAACTATAAGATTGACATCTGAAATGCTAGAAATACTTTATTCTGTTTATAAATCAATTGTATTATCTTTCATATCTAATATGAAAGCTGAAGATTAATAAAGATAGTTTGACTTTGAATATGCTATCAGTTAAGAAGAATAGTAGATAATGTTATAAACAAATAATTTAACATTATCTAATAAGGTTTAAAATAAATATGGAGTTGGATCTAATGAAGTATAAAACAAGATAGAATGGTTGGAGTTAAAGATTGAATTGAATGATTAATAAGCAACATATATTAATAAGATTGAGATTTGTCCTTTGAATTTTAATTTGACTTTTTATAGCAGTGCAAAGTCAAATTTGTAATATAATATGTTGATGTAGATATTAAAGACTATTGGTATAGTTATAGGGAATATAGATGAAGCTCCATTAATATTAGCTGGTATTATTTTAGAGAATTCATTTGATACATCTAATGCTATTCTTACAAAATTAACTACTCATTATAAAGATATGCTTGTTAATCTCATTTTAAAATTGATTGGTTCTATAGAAATATTTGGTAATCCAGTTGGATTAGTTAAACATTTAGCAAAAGGAATTTATGATCTATTTGACAAACCAATTGAAGCATTTATTAAAGGACCAATTGAAGGTAGTATAGGTATAGTGAAAGGAGCAGGAAGTTTAGTATAGAACACAGTAAGTGGAGTATCTAATTCAACAAGTAAGATTGCTGGAAGTATAAGTGGTGGTTTGGCATATATAAGTTTAGATAAACAATATAAAAAGTAGAGAGAATAATTGAGAGTTGTTAAACCTAATTAAATAATATCTGGAATTTATTTAGGAGGAAAATTATTATATGTATCATTAAATAGAGCTGTTGTTGGAGTATTTGATTTACCTATTAAATAAGCAAAGAGAAAAGGAATGAAGGGATTAACTATTGGAATACTTGAAGGTACAGCTGGATTTTTTATTAAACCATTTGCTGGAGCATTTGATTTTGTAAGTAAAACAACTGATGGATTTAAAGCAACTGCTTAATATTGGGATGATAAAGCTAATGATAAAAGAATAAGAGATATAAGGGTAATATATTAGTAGGAATAATTTTATAAAAATTATAATGTTAAAGATGCTAAAATTATGTAATTCTTAATCAATATAGATAATAAATTGGAAGATTATTATTATTATGATAGCTTTGAGTATTAATGTGGGAATACATAATTAGTTTTTGTTTTGATGTATTAATAATTCTTTAATTGTGACAAAAAGAAAAAATGTTTCATTTGGTAAATCGATCCAAATAGTGTTAAGGATATTTAAATAATGAATGATGGTGTTTTGTTTTTATTAAAGGAATACAATGAAAAATATAAAGTAATATATTGTAAGTTATTTAATAGGCTTAATAAGTACAATTGCATATGACATAGTAAAAGTAGATGGAATAAGTGATATTAAAATCTTAATGGCTCTTGAATAATATTTGATATTAATTATTTTTAACTTTCTTTCATGCCAAATCTATAATCTTTAAGCAACGCTTTCAAAAAGTTTAATGTATACACTAGACCTGTCAGTTTATTACTTTTAAAAGAATAAGGACATAGAACATATTTAGGAGTTTTTCTCACAACCATTCTTGTGAGTCTTGTGATTCTGGTTTATTATAGTGGACTGGTTTCACTTATAGTAAGAAATAATCCCAGTGTTATCACATATACCTAATATTAGGAGCATTAAAATGCATTTTATTTAACTCCTTAAAATTTCAGCATTGCCATTGCTTAAAAAGGATATGATCTCTTGGACTCTTATATTCTAGAGGGAGCACTTGGAGGTGTAGATAGGTAATAACATTAATAATTATTTATAGTACAATCTTTCAAGAAATCCCATTAACAAAATGCATCGATTTCTAATTTAATGATCCTTCTTTGAATGCTTACTTCGATAAGTCGGATCAAATCTGGTATTGTTTAGATTGGAGTTCCATTGGTTAAATTGCTATAGAAGGTGGTTTAGAATCCTCTAAAGATAAATCATTATAAATCATAGTTAAATAATGCACTTCAATGTATATAATTAAATTATTCTTAGTACCTAATGTACATATCCAAATATATTAGATAGTGATTAATTCCTATTTAAAATGACATCAGCTAATACAGATATATCTAATTTTAAAACACCAGCATACCTAATTGGTAAAACATTCAGTCTTACATCTCTGACAAACTTTGCCAAAAAATTGAATATCATTCTATAACCATAACAAACATAAACTGATAATGGATACATCATTCAAGATTAATATTAGGAAACAATTCTTTCTATTTCTAACTATTTTGAAACTATTCTAGATAAAGATGATGATAAACATATCTTTGAAATCAATATTTCACTTGATCAAAAAACCTTGATTACTTAACGATCATATCCTAGAGTCTATTAATTTTTAGGAGATATAGGAGGTTTTTGGGAAATCATCTTTCTTTGTTCCCTATTGTTCATTATGCCATTCAATAATTTATCATATAGAGTGGCTTTATTAAATGAACTATTCAATTTTGAATTAGATTATGATAATAAAATACATCCTGAACATAGAGGTAGTTCAAAAGTTAAAGAAATATTAAATAAATCAGTTTAACTTGAAAAATTTAATAGAATGTCAAAAGTCGCAGAACATGATGAATAATAAAAATCTAAATTATTAGATTAAATATCTAATGATATTACTTAATTTTTTTAAGAATAAGAAAGTAAATTAGATTTAAAATTATTTGATTATTTTGGTTGTTGTTAATGTAAAAAAGGTGGAAAAAGAGATTTAATTAATTTCTCTATGAGTAAAATTACCCATACTCTAGATATTACTTATATAATTAAAAAACTTTAAGAAATTGATAAATTAAAATTGATATTATTAAATTCAGATTAAATCAAACTTTTTGATTATTTACCAAAACCTAAATTGGGATTACATATGAAACCAAGTGAAAATGAATATTGTTCTATTTTAAAACCAGAATAATCTGATTTAGATAAAGCATTAGAAGCTTAAAAAGCCTTTCAAGCTTTACAAGATTAAGAAGATGATATCACACCTAAATTAGTAAAACTTTTAGATGATGATCTTGTATCCTTATTTAAATTATAACTAAATAAAGGTGTAAATCGTTTCGTTAAAAAACCAGCTTAATTAGCTGATGCAGTTTAATAATTAATGATAATGAATGCAAAGGAAAAGGAAAATTAGAAGGATAAAAAGAAAGAAAAAGAGAAAAAGAAGAAAAAAAAGAAATAAGATTAATCTAGTGACTCAGAAAATTCTGCATCCTCTGGGTCTGATAAGGAATGATAAAGCTATATATATATATATTATCATATTTAATAATCTTTTCATAGACATAAGACTAAATATAAGTACTTTAAATAAAATAATAATACTATATCTAAACAAAACTGATAGTAAGGAAAAAATTAAATCATGAATTTAAAATTATATGGAAATATAATAACAAATTTCTATATTTACTGTTCTTTTAATTAATAATATAATAATAGAATTTTAAAATAAATTTAAATGTATTTTAACATAAATTGATCATTATATCAAATAAAGAATATGTTTTAACCAAAACAAGATGAAAGGTATCCCCTTTCTACTGCATGTTAAATATTAAGTGCGACAGCAGGTTTTACTACAGGAATGACAACAGGATTTTTTTTAGGAGAAACAATAGGTTAAACAACAGGGGTTATAATAGCAAGTACAACAGGAAGCATATTAGGATTTACTACTGGATTAGTAGAAGAAAGTATTAAAAAATTATGTGGAAAAAAGGATTCAAATATAAAAGAAGTGAGTTTATTTTTTGCTAAGATGGGTTTATATGAGTAGATGTTTGGATCATGGGGTGGACTTTTCGGGAACTCATTGAGAAATTAGATTATATATTGCTTATTGTATACAACAGGATTAATAGATATAAATAGAGAAAATGAAAAAGATTAATAACTTTTATAAATAGTTGAATAATAAGAGGATGAAGATTAAGATGAAGAATTTGAGATTATAGAAATAGAAAATAATAAATAGGAAGAAGAAATTGATAAAATAATATAATAAGATTGATACATATTAGTATTACTAATTAATATTTTTTTCATTGTAAAATTTCTTTAAGTATATTTTTTATCAACTTATTGCATTCTTCTAATAGATTATCATAAGATTCAAATTATTATTTATCCTATCTTACATTAGGGAATAGTTCTACAATTTCACTAATTTTTTTAGTTAATCTTTCTATTTTATTAACAATTATGTCATTTTAATAGAGTTATTCATTTTCTATAATATTATTAATTAAATCTTAAATTTCTTTATTCTAAAGAGATACTTATGATGATTTTGTTTTGTGTTGTAAATTTAAATATAAAATAACTAAAAAAGTTTAACTAAAATAATAAATAATATTTATTACATTTAATCTAAATGCATAATCTTAGTTTATAATAATTACCAAAACTCTTTTAATTATTCATCTTTGTTACGTGATATCAACCAAGATGATTCATATAATTTCTTAATTTTTTATAAATATCCTTATTCAAGAATTAATTGTGGATCAACATTTTACATTATTTGAATAAAATATTCTTATTCTCCAAGAAATTTATTAACAATATCATTTTTAGGTAATTACTTTTTAATATCATTAAGGTAAATTTAAAATTTCTCCTTTCTTTCATTCAAAATCTATCTATTCTCTTAAACATAACTCATTAAATAATTATATCCAGATTCCTTAGGAGGTAATGATTTTTATATAATTTCAGGATTATTTTTAAATAAATATTCTGAGAGTAATTAAAAATCTCCATATCTTCTTAATACTGTAATGTTCCCAGATTTAATTGGATAATAATAATGTGAATTTTAATAAATAGGATCATCAACTAAAATAACTTATGAAATTTCTTATTATTGTTCTGATAATAGATTAAAAATTTCTTTATTTGATGAATTATGTTAGAGTATATCTTTCATTCGATTATTAATCATGGCTTCAATTTTTTGAGCTAAATAGTTATTTAAATAGAATATACAATTAAGAAGGTTATCCATATGAAATACTATTAATTTATATATATAAATATATATTTATAATAAGGTAAAAATATTTCATTAAGATTTAGCACAGCATTGATTATTTTTAATTGCTGTTGGTTATTAGAATTATTTAAGTCCATTCTAATCTAGATGAACAGGTTTTCTGTTGGATGCCACTGTTTACTGTTCAAATTATGATTAATTTACTATAAAATTATTTTTGAAATAAGTTAACCTTATGATTATGTTATAAGAAGAGAATGGTCTGTGGGTAATGCTAAACAAATTTATTCCATAGCTTCTTCAATTCCTTTACCTGTTTTAGCACTTACCTCATAATAGAGAATATCTTTTTTCATAGCATATTCTCTTGCTTCATCTACAGAAACAACTCTTTCTGAATCTATTTTATTTCCTAGAATGACAATTAAAGCTTCATTGCCTCTTGTTTATTTAACTTCTTTGAACCATCTATCCAAACTTTCAAATGAATGTCTAGCTAAGAATATAAAAATAAATTACATGTTACATCAAATACAATAACAGCACATTAAGCATCTCTAACATATCCAGGAATTAATGAATGAAATCTTTCTTATCCTGCAGTATCCCATAATAATAAACGCATAGTTTTACCATCAATAATCATATTTTTACTAATGAAATCTATTCCAACAGTAGCTTGAGATTTTGGATCAAAAGTATTTTAAACAAATCGTTCAATTATACTAGTTTTACCAACAAATGAATTTCCTAAAAAGACTAACTTTTGTTTTTATCTTGCTTCTGATTACATTATATATATAATTATTTTAGTATTAAATTTTGAAATAAAATAAATCAAAATTATATTATAATAAATGTATTATTATTTTAAATTAAATATAAGGTGAAACTATTATCACAAGATTCTTAATTCATTATATTGATTCCAAATGTAAGATTTAACATTTTCAAATATATCACCAATTTTTCTTAGTTTCATGAAATAAAATTCATTAATTAGTACAAGTTCATAAAGATATTTATATTATTCAGTATTCATTAATTCATGTTCAGTCATATTACAAAAAACACATACAATCTAAATATTTTAATAAGTATTACTTATAATATTAAATTGATTGATATAATATATATACCAAAAATCATCCCATAATATGCTAATAATTCTATAGTACTAATATTTGAAAACACAGGTAAGAAATATAATAAAGTTATACTGATTTTATTATCAGATAATGTATAAAATGTTGCATAAACATTAATTATAAAGGTTATAAAGTATGATAATAATAAAATGACATAAAAAAAATGATTTGTATTATTTATGCATTTATTCAAATAGATTGAATGAAATTGAAATCCTTTTACCTAAATAAATTAGATTATATTTTACACATTAATTACAATGATCACAATGATACACTTATGCTTTTTAAATGATTTTACATTTTGGACAAGTTCTAGATATATCAAAATTAATAAATTATTCATCTTTTTCAAAATGTAATTTTACTGCTCTCAACAATTCTGATTGATTTTATTAATTATTATTTTCTAAATCATCTTAAATTTCATCTATATTTATTTCTTCTTCTAATATATGATGTCTATGTTAACCATCATTTTTATGATGACATTCATAACTTATTTTAGGATGTCCTAAACTTTTAGATATTTTTTTGCCTTCATCTTGTCTATTAGTAGTTTTAGATAAAAATATTATGCAATAAAATAAACTGTAAAGTGTTAAAATTAAGGATATTAAAGAAATACTATATCCATAAATATCATCATTTTTTAATCTCCAAAAATTACATCCAACAAGAATCCCAATTATTAAATAAATTATACCCATTGTTATATATTATACTAATCTTGTATTATGTTATTTTATGAATTCTTAGTATTTCACATTTTCTACTATTTTTTTTATAGCTTAAGTTTTTAAATCCATATCTTTATTTGGCATAATATCTGGATATGTCCTAATTAAATATTCAACTGCATCATTTGAATAATTTGAAATAGCTCTCATTAATGGAGTTTTACCTTTAGAATCCAATTAATTATATGTTTTATCACCTTCAAAATATTTTAACATATACACATCATTTGTATAAGCAGCCCAATGCATAATAGTACATCCAGCATTATCTTTTATATCTGTATTAGCTTATAGAGCAATTAAATAAAGTGCAATTAATTATTAGTTACATTTTATTGCATATAGCAAAGGAGTAAATTATAAATTATCAATTTCATTAATCTTATTTCCTAATTCTATAAAAAGTTTAACCAATTCTTAATTTCCAAAATGACAAGCCATCATTAAACAACTTTATTAAATTTATGATTTATTTGAGGGATTTGCACCTTTCAAAAGTAAGTATTTAATAATATCCATTCTTTCAAATGAAATTGCATGATGAATTAATGCATATCCTGTTGAATCTAATTCATCTAAATTTTCAGGTGTATGTAATATTAACAAATTAAAATTTCCAGATTGAATTTCTTATTCAAAAAATATAGGTTATTATTTAATTATGTCTTCTAAATTTTCTTCTACATATTGATGTGGTTGAGGTATCAATTTTGAATCATGAGATTCACTATCAAATTCAAGTTATTCATATTCTCCTATAACATTATCATTCATTTTAATTAATATACTCCTTTACAACTTATAATAATATATAAAAATATTAAAATTTAATATGCGGGGATTTTTGAGCCTTGCTAAGACTATTGTTTATTCATCCTCAATTATTAAACCTACCTAATAGATAAAAATGCAGTTTCGATTGTATAAAAATATTCATATGTAAGGGCAAATCAAAAATTGGCATCTTAATTCAAATTATGTTCCACAATTCAAATTTTAAGAATGATCAATTTACAAGGAGTTTGTTCCAATTCATAATTAGAAGAAGCAGATGGTATTTAATAAATCTTGATAATTAGAACAAGATTTGGAATCAACCATTTCCAAATTACTTTCAGTAACCCTAAAAAGCAATACCAAGAAGCATCAATTCATAACTAAATGATATCATATTTGGTTTATATCTAAAATTAAATCAAAATTTAAATTTAACTACTTTTTTACTATATTCTAAGATTTATATCTCAAATATTATATATCTCATATTATATAAGATTTATAAGTTTTTAAAATAAAATAAATAGTTTTGAGCATTATATTCACAAATTTTTGAATCCACTTGATGCCTTTTATTCATTCTAAGGGTGATGTCTAATTTAATAAATAAAATTTACATTTCTATATTCTATTTTTTTAATGTATTATATCTAGTAAATAAAGTATCAACAGCATCATCATCCTGAGATATGTAATCTTATTTCGAGTCACATTCATTTACCATCTGACTTAATTAATAAGTATTTTCTATTGACTTATTAAAATCATCTGGTTTTAATAACTATATTTATGAACTATTTTAAAATGATTTCTTTCTTTCCTATAAAATATCTTATGTAGAAGGTACTTTCAATGAATGACTATCATTATTTATGTCATAATTTACCATTTATTTTATTTTGAAAAAGGAGTTCTTTCAAACTATTATAAAGAAGCAACCTATATAATCTAGTTTTCTTATTTTTGATTAATACTATTTAAGTTATTATTCTAAACTGTCCAATCATAAACATCATCATAATCTATTTTCCTAGACTAAGCTAATTTCCTAAATAACTAAATCAAAAAATCATAATCAGGATCACTTTAATATTACAAGGATCTAATATAACTATGTTATTATATAAATATATATATATACTCTAAGGCTTTTGCAAATTCTATAGGTAAGTCTACACAAATTTCTTAAGGCGTCATTTTAATTTTCTTTTCACCTACTTATTTTTGTCTTTCCTTATTATTCTAACCTAACATGTTTTACCATGGCAAAGATCTAAATTCTAAGTTAACCATTTAAATATACCCTTTTAGCATTAGAATATCAATATAAATTATTGATTCTAAATCATCTTTCCTTCCTATTTCATATCCCTTATGAGCTGCTATAGAAGCATACCTTGTTGTACCCACAAAAGATCTTCCATCTTTAAAAGGACTAATATCAAATCAATCTAAATTATTTACACATGCTTTAAGTTATTATCTCTATATAATTTGCTAATCCCATAATCCACGATATATATTTGTTTAGAATGGTACATTATATTTTCTGGTTTCAAGTCTCTATGCACTACTGATTTGTTATGAATTCTTCTTATAACTTATAATAAGTAATCAGTTATTATTAACACTGATTTTAGTGAAAACTTTCTATATTCTTTTAGATAAGCCCCAATATCTTTACTCAATAACTATTACACTAAAACATTAGAATTATTGTCAGTTCCACTCCAGATTAATTTAGGAACTCCTTAAGTGCCTTATAATCTAGTTAAAATATGTATTTCTCTATCCAAAGTTGAATTCTTTTCTTTTTTCTCTATTTTCACAGCAACCATCTGATTTTTAATAATGTCCTCTGCTTCAAATACTACTCCATATGACCCTGCTGATAATTTTTTCTTTAAACGGAATTAATTATTAATCACCCTATTTGGACTGCTGGGAGAATTCATATTTTTAATTAATTAAAAAAAATACAAATTCAACTTTAAAACTTTTTCTAAGTATATCTAATGAATTCACATATAAATATTAGTTAATTCAAATTATTAATAAATCTAGGGATTTCTAATAATTTTTAACTTTCTCAAAACTTACATCAAACCCATAAAATCCTATCAATTTTCTAATTAAAATCTAGAATTTTCAACATTTATCTCTATTATTTATAATTAATTAAGATTACACTTATATTACACATTAAAATTGTTAATTACTACTTCAATGAATGTATTTTTTTTAATTTATAACTATAATTAGTATATAAATAATTATATTCAGATTAAATTTGTAATCATTACCAATTGACTATAAGTGATAAATCACATTTAATCTAAATTAAAATAATGATTTTATTTCATTTTTTGATAAGTCAAAAATAAAAAGGATCTTATTTCTGTTACTTAAATTAGATAAATATTAAGATAATCTTCACTCCAATCAATTAATAAATATTCTAAAATCTCTTTTAAACATAAGTAGAAATAATATAAAATAATTATAATTCTACTAATAAATTTTTTTAGCAAAAAACACATTTAAATGAAAGTAATGATTACTTTTAAATGTTTATATATCTTAATAAAAATATTAATTGAAATTATTCATAATTTATAGATGCTATTTTAGGTTTTTAAATCTTATGACAGGTAATTAATAAATTAAATTTCTTTTTCTCATATTTGAATAGGAGAATAACAGATGAAGGTTAAAGCGTATTTTTTAATCACCTTAAAATATGAATTATGATCAAAAGAAAACATTTAAATTAAATGTGTATGCGTAATATAATAATTTATATATAAATTTGTATATATAAGAATACACATATATATTTATATGAATTAAACTCAAAGTGAGAAGATTATTCAGGCTTGACTTTAAATGTTCATTCTCATTTATTGAGATTCAAGCATGGTCTAATTTAAGAAAAAGCATTTGCTCATTGGATTTTGAGCATTTAATCTACATCTTTCTAATTGGATATTCCATTCACTTTGTTTCAAAGTTATTTATGGTTTTGGTATTCTAAGTAAATTGGAACTATTCATTTAGTATGATTTTATTTTTTTTTTATTTTTTATTTTTTTTTTTGAAATTAATCATATTATTTATTTCCTTTTATATTATAATTTATCTAATAGAACAAAATAATGTTAGCTACAATTTTTACTTTAATTATTTATTGCTTTAAATTTCAATATAATTTACAGCACTTAAATTCCATAAGGTTATTTATTAGATTTAAATAGTATTCATAAAATTAATCTATAATCTTATCATTTTTCAACAATTATCAAGGTCGACTTTAATATAAGTTTAGATTACGATAATTAATATAATATCTCTTAAGAATAAGAATTTAAAGCATTAAACTTTTGTGTACTCTGAAAAATATTTTAAGGTTATTTTATATTAAATATATATTTAATAATTTCTTTATCAAACTCTACTACCAAAAATAGAGCTTAAAGGTCTACCAAATTGACTGTGTTCTTATTCTGCATCAGCATAAGGATCCTCAATACCTTTTTCTTTTAGAATTTTTCTAAAATTTTTTATCATTGATTCATTTGCTTGTAATTAATTAAGTGCAATTTGCAATTAATTTTATAATTCTACATTCTTTTGGAATTCAAATGGTTATAATTTTTATTTATCGAAATTGGGACCTCTTAAAATTTTACCCATTTTATTATTCTTTTATGGGAGTGATTATAATCTAGCTTAAGCACTTCCTTATTTATTAATATTCAAAGCTTAAGGTAATATAGGTTGCTATGATTATTACATTACATCTTCGTTCATCATTTCAACATTTTACTATAGTTATTTAAGAATATAAATACTTCTCCAATATTTTTACCAAGCTTAGTTTATAAGACTTTAATTTCTTATTTAAATTTTTCATTTTCTTTTTTATATTTATCATTTTCAATTTTTAAATTTGATTTTTCTGTTTCATAATCTTTACATTATTTTCTTATTTCATTTAATTCATGTATTAATTATTAATTTTCACTAGTTCTTTTATAGATTTCTTTTTCTCTTCTAACCATCATTTTTTCTGTACTTGAATTAATTTAAATGGCACTCTTTTCTAAATGATTAATATGTCTATTCATTTCTTCAATAGAACGAGGATCATTAGAACTTTATTTAATTTCTTATTATAGTACATATCTTTAATATAATTTAGTCATTTCCTTTTTCCATTCCTAAAATAATTAAATTATATTACTTTATCATCAATATAATGTACACAATTATGAATATCTCTAGTAATATTTTATATAATATTTTCTTTCTTTTTAGTAGTTTAAATTTATAAATTTAAATCATGAGTAAGAGCATTAGTTTTACTAGTTTCTTCATTAATTTTAGAATTCAATTCACTATTAATTTTTAATTATTTAGCAAATTCACNGTTAGCTACAATTTTTACTTTAATTATTTATTGCTTTAAATTTCAATATAATTTACAGCACTTAAATTCCATAAGGTTATTTATTAGATTTAAATAGTATTCATAAAATTAATCTATAATCTTATCATTTTTCAACAATTATCAAGGTCGACTTTAATATAAGTTTAGATTACGATAATTAATATAATATCTCTTAAGAATAAGAATTTAAAGCATTAAACTTTTGTGTACTCTGAAAAATATTTTAAGGTTATTTTATATTAAATATATATTTAATAATTTCTTTATCAAACTCTACTACCAAAAATAGAGCTTAAAGGTCTACCAAATTGACTGTGTTCTTATTCTGCATCAGCATAAGGATCCTCAATACCTTTTTCTTTTAGAATTTTTCTAAAATTTTTTATCATTGATTCATTTGCTTGTAATTAATTAAGTGCAATTTGCAATTAATTTTATAATTCTACATTCTTTTGGAATTCAAATGGTTATAATTTTTATTTATCGAAATTGGGACCTCTTAAAATTTTACCCATTTTATTATTCTTTTATGGGAGTGATTATAATCTAGCTTAAGCACTTCCTTATTTATTAATATTCAAAGCTTAAGGTAATATAGGTTGCTATGATTATTACATTACATCTTCGTTCATCATTTCAACATTTTACTATAGTTATTTAAGAATATAAATACTTCTCCAATATTTTTACCAAGCTTAGTTTATAAGACTTTAATTTCTTATTTAAATTTTTCATTTTCTTTTTTATATTTATCATTTTCAATTTTTAAATTTGATTTTTCTGTTTCATAATCTTTACATTATTTTCTTATTTCATTTAATTCATGTATTAATTATTAATTTTCACTAGTTCTTTTATAGATTTCTTTTTCTCTTCTAACCATCATTTTTTCTGTACTTGAATTAATTTAAATGGCACTCTTTTCTAAATGATTAATATGTCTATTCATTTCTTCAATAGAACGAGGATCATTAGAACTTTATTTAATTTCTTATTATAGTACATATCTTTAATATAATTTAGTCATTTCCTTTTTCCATTCCTAAAATAATTAAATTATATTACTTTATCATCAATATAATGTACACAATTATGAATATCTCTAGTAATATTTTATATAATATTTTCTTTCTTTTTAGTAGTTTAAATTTATAAATTTAAATCATGAGTAAGAGCATTAGTTTTACTAGTTTCTTCATTAATTTTAGAATTCAATTCACTATTAATTTTTAATTATTTAGCAAATTCACTTTCTAATCTAAATAATTCTTCTTTTAATTTTTCAATTTAAGCTTCCTTAGGTTCTAATGATTTTTTCATTTCTGTAGTTCTAAATGATAAAACATGTTTAGATTTTTGTAAAACATTAATTTTATCTTTATATTCTGAAATCTTTTTATCTTTTTTCTTTAATTAATCATCCTTATCTTCTAAATCCTTACATTAAACATCTATTTTAGTTTCAGCTTCCTTAAGGTTTTTCTCTAATAACTAATAAGCTTATTCCTTCTCTTATAATCTTTTATCTAATTTTTCATTTTCTAATCTTAATTCTTATACTAATTTCTACTCTTATTTAAACTTTGAGTCTTTTTCAGCTAATAAACATTTAAGTCTATCAATTTCTTTTTTCTATCTATCATTTAAATCTTTAATTTCAAATTCATGATCTTCTTCTTATTATGCTAAGATTTCTTCATATGTTGCTTTTAATTAATCTGCTTGATTTTAATTATTTTCCAAAGCTTTGGCTGTAATTTAGAAATTCTTATAAAATTTCTCTTTTAATTCTTCAATATATGAAGTATGTTTTGATTCAAATTCTTTAGCTTAAGCTTAATTTCTTCTTCTTTCTTCCATTAAATCTTATTCCAATTAGAGATATTTTTCATTTTCAAATGCTAATTTTCTTTCATATAAATTTTCTAATTCTTCAACAGCTTTTAAATGATTATTTTCTACATTTTTAAATAAATTAGCAGATTCTTTTTCTGCAGCTGACTTTTAAGCCTTTAACTAATCATAACGTGCAGCCCAAGCAGCTATTTCATTATTCATTTATTTTTCAATTTCTAATTTTTCCTTTTCAACTTTTCTTTTCTCTTCTTATACTTTAAAATCAGTCTTTTAATCAAGATCCTATAAATCATTATGTAATTTTTTCATTTCAGCAATATAAGTTTCAATTTCATTTCTAGAAACTAATAAAACATCAGCTAAATTTTCATCAACAACTCCAGCTTTAGGATTAATTTTATCAATATCATCCATCTATTCTTTAGCTTCAGCTCCTGTTTTAGAAGCATATATCTAACCATCATTAGAAATTTCAGAGACTTAATATATAAATAGAACACCATCAGTTCCAGTTGAAAATACATATCTACCATCTGGACTACATTTAATTCTAGTAATTTCTCCTTAATGAACTGGCATTGTTTCAAAAGCCATTTAATTAAATATATAGGAATATATTTTTATTTATCCATTTTCTGTACCTCCTATAATTCCAAATTGATTATATAATGATTAAATGTAAGCTAATTATGTTAATTTTTATTAACCAAGATCATGAAAATGATGATCTTTACCAGTACTTATTCCATTCTAAACAATTCTTTATTCTCTAACTATATATTTAGTATCAATTTTATCTTGCTCTGTTTTATCTTTAATACTTTCAGTTCCTGCAGCTATTAACATACCAATAGGTGGATCATAAATTAATGATGTATATTTATTTGTATTATAAACATAATCTTTTCTTGACCAATCATTGGGATTCCATTCAAATATACTACCATCTAATCCACAACTAGCCAAAAATGTATCTTTGATTCCCCATATTAAATCAGTTATTTAATTACTATGACCTTTTAATGTGTGCATGAATTCCATTGTATAAGCATCATAAATATTAATATAATAATGATTGCTTTTAGCTCTTGGATATGCAACTGCTAACATATGACCTCCTTGACTAAATTTCACTTAAGTGCAACATTTTACAGCCATTTCTTTATAAGCACGTAATTCACTATGCAAAACATGGAAAATACGTAATTTATCTTAAAATCCTGCTGCCAAATAATAACCAGTTGGATGAAAACCTACTGAACATAAAGGTGAAATATCTTAAGTTGTACTCTAATTCTCTTTTGTTCCTAAACCTTATTAATTACCATCATCTCCTAAATAAAATTTACGAGCTAATTCACATCTAGGATATGCATAATTCCATATTCTAATTGTACTATCATATTTGCTTGCTGTAACTATTAAAGGCCTTTATAAACAAACATCTAAATGTGTAATTGGAGCATTATGAAATCCATTAAATAAAAAATCAAATTTAACTTCTCTTTTTAAGAATTTCTCATTATTTTTATAAGATTCCAATACTTCAGTTGAATTAGGTAATACTTAACCCATTTCTATTGTGCAGATATCATTATTAGAAAATGCTACTGCAACTAAATCTTCTTATTTTGTTATATCCATACTAACAACTTAACTCTTTCTTTCACATCTCCATTTCTTTAAGAATTATAAATCCATTACAACTTCAATACCATCTTCTGTCTTCTATTTATCATGATCATCACCTCTAATCCAAAGTGCAAAATGACCACTATCAGATCCAACTAAAAATCCTTTTGAAAAAGCAATTAAAGATGAAACTCCAGGTCCTCTAATGTCAGTAAATGCATTATTTATATATTGTCTTACATCATTATCATGAATAATGAATATTTCAGCTTTGTCATTTGCCAAAATCACTTTATTCTCTTCAAACCATGCATGATCTGTAAAAGTTTAAATAGGAGCCAATCTCTTAATTTAATCAGTTAATGAAATAAAGGAGTTTTCTTAAACTCTTAATATTTTAAAATAATTTTTTCCACTCACAGCTACCATATGATTGTCTTTAGGAGATATTGAAACTCTTGTTAACTCTTATCCTATTGCAGATAAAGCTAAATGTTTCATTCTAATTAGATCTACAAAAATTAATAAATAATCTGGTGGACCTGTTAAACAAAGTAAAAATCTAATTAAGATTCAATATTCATATATTACCTAGAATCTGTATGTGAAAATGCCATACTAATAAATGTTGATGATTTAGTATCTAAATATTTATACGGTTTTTTCTCCGCTTCCATTTTACTTGGATGAGCTTTTAAATTATAAATTACTAGCTAAGGAACTGTTTCATTTTTCATTTTTTCTGCAACTGCTAATGTCCTATTAAAATTAAATAGTGTTTTAAGTACCTCTTGTTTGGAGCAACTGTCATACAGGAAACAATTTCTAAGTTATCCGATAATCTGATAAATTGAGTATCAGGTTTATCAATAAACTTCTATGCTATAAATTTACCAACTGGATATAGTAATCTTCTTTATTCATCTAATAACTTAATATTTTCATTCACTACCCTCTATAATGCTTATACTATCTTTAAATTTTGCTGAACATAAACTACCATATGATTATATCACATCTAATTTTAGTCTTCTATCTTCATTTCTTCGTTTCTTATCATCCATTTTAAAAATAATTATTAATATTATAATAATGAAATCACAGATTATTCTAACTTTATTGTTCATTTCAGCTCTAGCAACTGTTGAAAGAGATTCAAATCAAGAAGCACTAGAAGGAGTCTGGTCCTATTTTAATTAAAAAGGCCCATTTACAGTAACTAAATGCGGAACTGACTAAGACCATAAAGATGCCTTTTTATTTACAGGTTATTTCCTTAGAAAAGCAGATATTGCCTAAACATCAGAAATTAATCCATTGATTGCTGAAGGCCAATAGTTCTATAATGTATTAAATGTAATCTAAAAATCTTAGTCTTTACCTTTAGAAACAAGGAATTGTTTTGAAAACAACTAAGAAGTAATTGATCTTGGTAAATTCTTAGGAATTGATAAATATACCGAAGATGAGTTATAAAATAAAGTATCTAATTGGGTAGGAACTCATTTCTTTGTTTATAAAAGATTAATCAAAACAGCTGGTAGTGATTGGAACAAATGGGAAGATTATGAATAAACTGGAAGAGATTTAGCTGAATTATTACAAAGAATTTTAACAGATGCTTAAGAATAGTGATCATCATAATAATTTAAAAAATAAGTAATATTTATCTATTTAATTTTTCAATAGAATCAAATATCATACTTAATCCACAATAAATTCTTTATTTTAATATTTTTTTAGATACTTTTTTCTTAAACTTAATATTTAAAATCTATATAGAATATTTATATTATATTATTAATAATATTCTCTTTATATCTAAAGAACTTTGATTTACTTGGTCATCTTATTCGAATTCTTTTTTTTTTTTAATTGTGTTTAACATAATAATGAAGCAGAAAAATATCTTATTTATATAATTTATTGAAGTAATTTCTAAATCCTAAAATAGTTAAGATATTAAACAACAAAAAATAGAGAAAACTCGATATTTTTAATATAGATCAATAAATTGTTAATAAGATGTATAATTATTAAGATTCATTCTTAACCTATTTAGTCTTCCTTTCCTTCTTATTTTTCTATTTAAAGCGCTTTTCCAAAAGGGAAAAATGTTGTTTTTTTTTCTTGAATACATTTTTTTACATATTTCTCCAAAGAGTTACAATCATTTGGATCTTTATTTTTAATATAAATTATGTAATATAACATATGATATACGTTATGATTCAAGTAAATATGATCATGCCAACCTTATGCACCTCTAAAAAAAAGATAAATAAATGTTTTACATTTGTTCAAATTCGTTTTTATCCTGACTACAAATAAAGCACTTGCCTTCAATATCCTAAACTAAAGCTTATCTTTAAACTCTTAATTCGCCAAAAGTATCCAAAATGATACCAAATATCAATTAGATAAAAAGGATATTAAAAATGATGAAAAAAGTAAGATCAAAGAGGTATCTGTCCCAATATAATGTAGAATCCTGATAAACATCGGGATATTTAGTCAAAGATTCCCCTAAACCTCCCCCATTTCTCAATCCAAAATTAATTGTAGATGTAACAGCAAGAATAAATGTATGGCCATAAACACCATTTTCATCATCAAACATCTCTTCAAAATTAGAGAACGCAATTATAGCATAGTTTAACAAACCAATAAATCCTAAAAATGTAAATATAGCTAAATTTTGACCATTTGATGTAATTGATTTTATGATATTTTAGAGATCCTCAGATCTTTTGATGATATCTAATAAAAGTATAGCATATATATAAGGATTAATGAATGCATATACGGTTAGGCCAAAAATGCAAATCTATTATTATTTATAGATATATATCTTACATTATAGAAATTATCAAAGTCAAAAAATATAACCAAAATTAATCTCTTCATTACACTTTTATTCACTTGTTGTTCTTAAAATTCTGATTCAAAATATCCTATCAAACTATAATATTTCATCGTCAACCATGAAATCTAAAATCCTGCTTCTTTCTTTAAAATTTGAAGTCTTTTTGTGTTTGTCTGTTTTTTGTGATATGTAATTGAAATAGGATATCTTTCAAAGGCACAAAAGAAAACTATAATTAGATTTAAAACTAATAAAATAATAGAAAATATCTAATATAGAATAAAAAATATATACATTATTTAAATAATTAACAAAGATTTTTCCAGATGTTATATTTTAATCTTCAGGTGCTTCAATATTAGATGCTATTTTACTATTTATAACTGTATCATGCATAAATATAAGTAGAATTACAATAATTAAACACAAAATGAATGATAAATCTTTTAATGATCTCCAAATTACAACACCAAAACGTATAATTTTTATATTATTAATTTATTAAGAATGTCTCATTTGAATTTCATAGAATTCAGAAAATTCGATCAATCCACGCATTCTATCTTCATCTGTTTCTCTATTAATATCATATATCAAATGTTATTTGATATTTGGAGTAATAAAGTTACAAATAAAGGGTTTTTAAAAAAATATTTTTTCTATTTAATTCTATTCATTTTATATTTCAATTCTTCCTGTGAATTATCTATAAAATTTAAAGAATTTGTCCGTTCTATCTAAATTTTAAGAATAATTTTTTGGATTTTCCATATTTGTTGTTTTAGAAGTTATATCACCATCTTTAGGCAACAATTCATAATTTTTATTTTAATTATGATTATATTTATCTTCCTGATTTACAGGTTTTATTTTATTATTTTATAAATTTAAATTTTATTAAGGTTTTTTTAATAATGTTAGAAATTCTGATAGTGTTTATTGTCTCGTATCTAAAAAATTAGTATAATCATATAAATCTTCATAATTTTCTTTTTTCTCAACCTAATTCAATTAGAAAAATACAAATTAAGAATCCTTTGGAAAATGTTCTGATAATTTAAGCCATATGATAAATATATTAAATCCTGTTTGTATTAAGATGTTATCCTCATTTGTTCTTAATTCATTTTTACAAAAAATATTAGTACAATCCTTATGTTATTCACTTTTTAATTCACAAATATTATCTAAAATTATGTTTCTTTATTTTGGTTTGATTCTTTCTTCATAAATAGATTTTGCTATTTTCATCAAAAAAGTAATATTAACAGTATCTTTAATGGATTCTAATGATTAAAGATCCACACTTCCTTATGTCAATAATAAGAGCAATTTGATAAATGATTACAATGTTTAATATAAAGCATATTTTTTTTCCCCTTCGTCAGAACCAATTCCTCTTGCATCTATCATTATGTTTTTATCTAATGATTAATTCATTTATTATCTTTCCTTTAAAATTATTTGATTTATTTAATAATGCTCATCAAAACTTTAAAGTTCTATTTTTTGCAATATTGAATTTAATATATTAAATAATCTTGTATTTTTACATAACTAATTTCTATTTTCAACATAACCTGTAGAAAATTCAATTAAACTTTCTAAAGCTTTTCTGTATATTTCTTATAATTTATAAAATACATTTTATCCTTTTTCTAAAAGATCAGCTAATAAACTAGCAACTTCATTAACAATATTAATGTTAGCTTAATATGAATCATCATCATATTATTATATTAAAAATCTTTAAAAATCCATGTTTACATTTTCACATAAAACTTGTAATAATTCTAATACCTTAAGACAGAGAAGTGTATATTCAGTATTATTATTATTAGTTTATTCTAATTCTTTAATTCTTACATCTAAATCAGTTAAGAAGAATTCTCTTAAAAATACTAAACATTTTTGTTTCACATTTTCATCTTGAAACAATTTATAAAATTTTTTCTATATATATTCATTTCCAAAATCTAATAAATGAATTAAAAATGTTAATGCTTCAATTTTTTATTGATCATCATCAGTTTAATTCAAAATTTCTAATGCCAGAATATCAAGTTAACCATCAGCCATATCCTTTTAACATTTAACATATGTTTCTTTTATTTTTTTGCTGGTTTCTGATGATTCTTTATCTTTTACTTCAATCAAAGAATCTATCTCCTCTTGAGTAGGCCTTTTAAGCTACAATAATTTTCTGCATAATTTAATTAAATAAATTTCTTTATTTGAAAATATTTCCTAGCATTTTTTTAAAAAGTCTTTTAAATTATCTAAACAAACTAAATTGGTTTATTATGTCTCTAATGATTTTATCATCAGTTCTATTTACACATCCTCAGAGATTAAAAAATCTCTATTCAATTCAAGCTGTCTTCCTTATTTTTTATAATATTATTCAATTAAGAGTATTGTAGCTTATTAAAAGTCTTTTTTCACACTATCTAAATTTTTTTATTAACGTTAATATGTTTAAATCTATTAAGAAGTAATAAGATTTGTGTTAAATTTTCTTTCAAATTATTCTCTCATTGTTTATTTAAATAATTCCCAACCCTCAATTTTTTTTTTTTTATTTTACTCCGATTCTTAAGTTTCAATACGATAATCATCTTATTTATTTATATTTTGAATATCTTAATATTTTATATATTATTTATAAATGTTGCAAGTGTCGATAATCTTTCTTAATTTTGCTTCATGATTTAATCCTAAAGCATCTTTTTCAATAAAATTAAAAAATTATTAAATATTTACTTTATATCTTATTAAATATATTTTAAAGTTTCTCCTAAATTAGTTTTATACTCTCTCCACGTTATCATATTATTGTAATTTATTTTCTCCAGTCTAATCTTCTTTTAAAGTATTATATTTATCAAATAATAATTTATCATTATTGTTTTCTTATACAAATCTGATTCTAAAATTCTGACCAAATTTTATAATTTTCCTTTTAGGTATTATTTCTTCTATTGAAATAATCAATTCTCTATAATCATCTAAATCTAAGTCTTCTTTTTTTACTCTAAAGTCTCTTTCCAAAACATTAAATATTTCTTTAATTTTTTAAACAATCTATTTGATAATAGCAAATTCATCTGATAAATTAGAATAATCAGAATTTTCATTATCAATCATCATTTCATCATAAGTGTATACTAAAAAGTGGAAAATACCATTTTTCCTTAAATATGTCCAATATTCACTGCAATCTCTAATTATTCGTAATTCTTTATTTGATGCTTCATTTATAGACAATCTTTTTTCGAAATAATTTCTTTTTTATATTGTAATCTATTCTCTTAAAACCGTTTCAATGACTTTTTTATTCTAATCTTTATTTCCTAATTTCGCCAACCCTTCTAAAAATTAACATAATTGTCTCTAATCTAATTCAGGTGTTATAATTCTTGATAAAATGTCTCTGACTTCATCACTTTCAATAGTATCGTTACTAAAACCTCCTTCTTTTGCTTTATTTATATATAATTCAAATAAACATTATAAGTAAGCTCTCTTAACAATATATTCAGTATCTGAATGTAAAAGAATTGCTTTTAATTATTCATATAATAATATTCTTTACATTTCTTAGATTCCTAATCTGTATTATTAACAACACTCTGTTATTAGAATTATCAACTAAGCATGTAGTTTAATTCTATGATAATATAAACTATCATTTTCACTCTATTTAACTAATCCCTATTAAGGAATTAATATTTTTATATAGTAATTTACTGGTTCTAATATAATTCTCAAAAATTAAGATTTTAAAATGGAGTTTAAAATCAAATGCTTATTGACATAAGACTGTTAAGCTGGAATTTCAAAAGTCTTGGTTAAACATTTTAATATTCTTAAATATTGAATTAAACTGAAATAAGCCACTGCATCCTAATCTTACTTTCTAGGAGTTTTCATCCTTTCAATGTATAGCTTTTTCAATCTAAATGTTATCTCAAAAAACTCTTAACTTTTCATTAATTCATCTCCTAATTCTTTTATTCTCTAAAAAACATTCAGTATGAAATTATCATGTTCACATTTTGGAATTTTGGATATTAATTATACTACAAGTTTAGTAACTTTTATTGGAATATAAAACCAATCTTCAGCTCCTTATTAATCAATTTAAATGATATCAAGCAGTTTATACAAATACTCTTTTTAAGCTAAAATTGCTATATTTGTTTCATTATCCTTTGTGAAGTATTCAAAAAATAAAATCAATCTCTTATAAAATTAAACAATATTAGGAGAACTACACACACTTTAGGGTTTTACTAAAAATTATAGAAATACCAAATGAACTCCTGCATTTCTAACAATATTTTAAAATGATTTTAAGTATTAAACTTTTTAAGAATTTGGTTAAAAGAATTATTCAAATTATTTAATTATTTATTCTTAATAGTTTTTTAATAAATCAAATGATTTTATATGTTTTATTTTTTCTTCTTTTCCATTAGTATTTTGAATTAATTTAATTGCTCTTTTAGTTTAAATTTATGCTTCTTTAGGGCTAATTATCTAATCTGCATTTGAATTTCCATTAATTATTGAAAAATATTCTAATTCCGTTGAATCATCAATAATTTCAACTTCTTTAATTTCATTTATTGAATTTTTAGGAGCATGAAAATTCTAAATTAAAATTTCAAGCAAATCCTCATTTAATTTATTTCTTTTTTCTAATGAAAGTAAACAACAAAACAATAAAGCACTAAAACTATTGCCATCTGGTTCCTTAAAAACATTAAATATTGTTTTCTATGCTAAAGTTTTTTACGTTATGATTTAATCTTCTTAATTAATGTTTTGAATTTCATTATCGTCATTTTAATCAAGTTTTCTAGAGCTTGGAGAATTAAATTTTTATTAATTTCCTTATTATTTACCAAATAAGAAATCTAATATTTCAAGATTCAATTTTAAGAGACTAAAAATTTTTAAATTTAAAGACCTTCTAAATAAATTTTCATTTTTAATAATTCATCATCACAATATTAAAATGTCCAAATCAAAAATTAAAGAATCCAATTTCGTTAAAATTGAATATCATATTTAATTACTTAATGAAACCACTTCTGGCTGATTATATTTTCTGATTATTCTTAAGTAGGTTGTAAATAGGTATTGACCCATAAATTATTTTCAATAGATTTTTTTAAATTTAATAAATTAGATTCAAAACTTTCATTATCTTTGAATTTATAAATCTTATTATCTTATCTTTATTGTAAAATTAAGGCAACAAACATGTTTGGTAATATTGAAAAAATCCTGTAATTTTCTTACAGATTATNCTTTTATTGGAATATAAAACCAATCTTCAGCTCCTTATTAATCAATTTAAATGATATCAAGCAGTTTATACAAATACTCTTTTTAAGCTAAAATTGCTATATTTGTTTCATTATCCTTTGTGAAGTATTCAAAAAATAAAATCAATCTCTTATAAAATTAAACAATATTAGGAGAACTACACACACTTTAGGGTTTTACTAAAAATTATAGAAATACCAAATGAACTCCTGCATTTCTAACAATATTTTAAAATGATTTTAAGTATTAAACTTTTTCAGAATTTGGTTAAAAGAATTATTCAAATTATTTAATTATTTATTCTTAATAGTTTTTTAATTAATCAAAAGATTTTATACGTTTTATTTTTTCTTCTTTTCCATTAGTATTTTGAATTAATTTAATTGCTCTTTTAGTTTAAATTTATGCTTCTTTAGGGCTAATTATCTAATCTGCATTTGAATTTCCATTAATTATTGAAAAATATTCTAATTCCGTTGAATCATCAATAATTTCAACTTCTTTAATTTCATTTATTGAATTTTTAGGAGCATGAAAATTCTAAATTAAAATTTCAAGCAAATCCTCATTTAATTTATTTCTTTTTTCTAATGAAAGTAAACAACAAAACAATAAAGCACTAAATCTATTGCCATCTGGTTCCTTAAAAACATTAAATATTGTTTTCTATGGTAAAGTTTTTTACGTTTTGATTTAATCTTCTTAATTAATGTTTTGAATTTTATTATCGTCATTTTAATCAAGTTTTCTAGAGCTTGGAGAATTAAATTTTTATTAATTTCCTTATTATTTACCAAATAAGAAATCTAATATTTCAAGATTCAATTTTAAGAGACTAAAAATTTTTAAATTTAAAGACCTTCTAAATAAATTTTCATTTTTAATAATTCATCATCACAATATTAAAATGTCCAAATCAAAAATTAAAGAATCCAATTTCGTTAAAATTGAATATCTTATTTAATTACTTAATGAAACCACTTCTGGCTGATTATATTTTCTGATTATTCTTAAGTAGGTTGTAAATAGGTATTGACCCATAAATTATTTTCAATAGATTTTTTTAAATTTAATAAATTAGATTCAAAACTTTCATTATCTTTGAATTTATAAATCTTATTATCTTATCTTTATTGTAAAATTAAGGCAACAAACATGTTTGGTAATATTGAAAAAATCCTGTAATTTTCTTACAGATTATTATATCCTAAATCAATACTGTTTTTTATTATTTATAGAATTCCCAAAAAGTATTTTAATTAATAATTTGCTAATCTTTTATAGTCAATATTTATCTATTCTATATTTGATTTAGATGGTTAAAATATATTGTTATTAAATTCTAAAACTCTGAAATGATCTGGATAAGGTATTTAAGCAAATATTTATAAATAATAACTTCTAACATCATTTATTTACTTTCTAGATAGCATTTTCTATGCAAATAATTTCAAATATTGATGTTTTGCTTAAGCTCTATTTGAATTTAAAAATTTCTTATATTCTTCGTTTCGTTTCAATTATTTTGAAGCATTTTTTTCATAAAAATAAATCCCTGATTAATTTTTAATGTCAAATTAATCTAAATCATCATTCAAATAGCATTTATTATCAAACTATGAAATTTTTATTAATGGATCAATATCTAAATATAAATTACAAAATAGTTCTATTAAAGTTCTCTCAAATCTAAGTCCTGTTTTTATTTATTTTTGGCTTATCAAACAGATTTCGAAAAAATTTTAATTTAAAAAACAATTTTTCATTAAACATTTGATACTTTTTTAATTTCTTCCCTTACATAATGATGAATATAAATCCATTACGTTCATTAAATAATTTTCATATTTCTAAAATATTGGTACTACTTTTTTATATTCTTCTTATCTCACCAATTAATTTTCCTTTAATGTTTCAGTAGTAAAGAAATCAATCGTAACATCTACCAAAGGAGGTCTTTGTTTCTTAAATCTATTACTATTTTTGATCTATTTTTCAACAAACCTTAAATATAATTGACAAAAAATTGGATTATTTTCTCCAAATTAATTTGATAATTATAATAGTGTTCCTTTTTCTCTTTTTGGAGAAAATAGAACATATGGATAATAATTGTTATTTTCTTCTTAAATATCCAATGCAATTAAAGCCTTAGAAAAAGGAAAAGATTAATCAGAATGATGCTTTTTTCCAAATAATAATTTTCTACAAGAGTTTTAAGAAAAAGATTTTGGATTTTCATAAGGATCAATCATCATCAAACTTATTATTTCAATATATAGTGCTTGATCCTCAATATTTTTTTCAGTTATTGGCTAGAGTTAATTAACCCATTTCTCTAAGCTAGTTTTTATATCAGTCTTATCAGTATAACGCACAGTTTCTTTTATTAGATTGGAAACGCCATCTCTCTAATGCTCTAATTGTTAAAGCAAGAAAACTAATATACTCTCATTATACATTTACAAACTTAATACATAATTACTTGTTTTTGGATTACTTTAAACACAGAGACTCAAAAAAGAATAGATTTCTGTAATGCAATTCTTTTTTTGAGATTCTAATTTCATTTTGGCAATTATTTAAGGGCTTTTATCAAATAAAATATTATTATTTCCGTAGATCATACAGTTGCATAATCCTTAAATTGCAAAAAGTAAATTAATAATATCATTATCCATTAATGTATTTTATTTGCATTATTATTATTCGCTAGATTAAGGCTATCCTTCATTTTTTAAATACAAATTTAAATTTTACAAAGTTTAATATAATTATAAGATTTCATCAAATAATAATTTTTGATTATTGAAAGCTTCATAATATTCATATTTTCGCTTTTCTTATTAATTTTTATCAATAGATTTTACTATACCCCAATCTTATAAAAATAAGTAAAACTAAATTAAATATTCTTGAAGAGAATTAATCCTTAATGATGTTTTCTAGAGTTCCTAAGATGTTGGCTTCAATAAAAAAGTTGCTTTTTCAATTTTTTATTTTTAACTTTTTCTTTACACCGCAACTTTCTTATCATCTTAGCAAACTAAAACTACACCTTCTTATGTTTAATGACTATCAATTGATATTGTGATTGCTGATTATATTTTAAATGTCTCACTATAAGAAATTGGATCAATTGATTATTTTTTAGATTTAAGATTAAATTGGCATTCCATCTTTAATCCATCATAAGTTAATCCAACTTCGTTATTTGTTATTTATAAAAATAATCCAGTACAAACATGTCTTATCAAAAATACACTTTCATAAGTTGACTTTTAATATATTAAACTATCAACATGCTAAATTTACCATAAACAGTTTAAATTTTCATCTGCATCTTATGTAGTATCAACATATAATTAATACATTTAATTAATTTTTTCATTTCTTATTTTATCCACATCAAAATAATATTGATTTATTGAATATTATATATTAGTTTCAGAATAATTTATAATTAATTCTTTCTTATCTAATTCATCAGTAATTCTTCTTATTCTCTTAATACATAAGTATCCTCCCAAATACCTGTTCTTTATGGTTAAAACGTCACCACTCTGTAAATACTTTCCCTTAATTTATTATTTATTAATATCTTCTTCTGTTTTATTGTCAATGTAACTTGAAATTTTTAATGGATAAGCTTATTCTGATGCATTTACTTCAAGTCCATCTTTCTTAAAAACATTATCAGATGACATTTGCACACTTAAATTCCATTGTGATTAAATACAATTTTAGACAATAATTTAATCTCCATACAATATTGGTTCACCTATATTTTTTACAGAATTCATTGATAAAATTCTAAAGTTTGAATATTAATTTGAATTTTCCTCTAAGGATAGTTCTCTACAACAATTTTCCTTTGCTAAAATGCCGCTTTTCAGAGTTAATGTGCATCCTGAATAAATATGTAATAGCTATATTTCTTAACCATAAACTATATTAGATCCTTTTTAATATTCATAGAATTTTCCATTCTCTATTATTTCATCATCGCACTTTTTTTTAAATTCTTCTAATTTTTAATCATTATCGGAAGGCTATGTTTATTCTTCAGTAATAATCCTTTAATCCACAGGCTTCTCTTTTTATATCTTATATTAATTTTAATATAAGTATTTTTTTCCTGTAATTATTTAAAATAAACATTTTTAGAAAGATAGGCTCCCTACTTTAAACTATAAGCTTTTTTGTGATTAGATATCTTGCAATTTATTTTTTCCTAATATATACACACATTCTAATTTATTGCTTGCAATTCCATCACCAGATATTACTCCCTTAAAATCATCACTCAAATAAGATTTAAAATAGATAATATCACCTACTTTTAGATTTAAGTTTTGCCTATGATATAATCGCTATTTACTTTTAATGCTTTATATTATCTACATTTTATTATAGGGAGTTACAATTTTAAGTTTGAGTCCATTTATTTTCACCTGCAACTTATTATTCAATTTTCAAAGTTGGTATAGGTGGTAAGTCGATCATTACTTATTAAGAATAATTAATTTATATTATGTTATGATTTGATCTCAAAATAACTTTTAAATTATCGAATATATTGATATAAATGATAAATTATTATTGATAGAAATTTTTAAATAAATTTTATAATCTATACTACTTTTATTGATAAACTCTGAATATTTCAATATATTACTTTTCACATACACATATAAATTCAATATAATTATCACTATTGTTACCTTAAAATATGAATTATGATCACATTTAAATTAAATGTGTATGCGTAATATAATAATTTATAGATAAATTTGTATATATAAGAATAAACATATATTTATTTATATGAATTAAACTCAAAGTGAGAAGATTATTCAAGCTTGACTTTAAATGTTCATTCTCATTTATTGAGATTCAAGCATGGTCTAATTTAAGAAAAAGCATTTGCTCATTGGATTTTGAGCATTTAATCTACATCTTTCTAATTGGATATTCCATTCACTTTGTTTCAAAGTTATTTATGGTTTTGGTATTCTAAGTAAATTGGAACTATTCATTTAGTATGATTTTATTTTTTTTTTATTTTTTATTTTTTTTTTTGAAATTAATCATATTATTTATTTCCTTTTATATTATAATTTATCTAATAGAACAAAATAAT